CTGCACACCTTGTGCTCACGTGAGAACTGCGTCCAAAGAGCTTCATCGAGTACAGGTCTGATCTCCTTCGTCTGCGCAGTGTTGTGTTCTTTTTTTGCTGATGGTTCTTCATCTTCTCCAGCGTCATCTGGTTGCGCCTTGTCATCAGTTCTTGACAGCGGTGAAGTCCTGGTGAAGAACTTGGCGGGGGAGCGTCGTTCGATGATGCTGGTGGTACTGATGTCTCTGCTTCCCGTGAACTATCTTTGTCCGTCTTGTGTTTCTTGTTTGATGCACACGGACAATGTCCAGTACCTTTGACGTCACGAGGTCAAAGCCATTTCAAATACCGATCGGTGTGCCAACGTTTACGCCACGGCGGGCGCTACCTGCGAATACTTCTAAGACATGGATGTTACCTCTGATCACGCAGTTCCTATTTGCAAACTGAGCTTCGCAACTGCAGTCCTTGGTGTAGAAAGCTGGTTCTGCGGAACCTGTGTTATTTTTTGGTTATTCGCCTGGCTGGTCATTCTGCTGCCCTGGCTTGTTCTAATATCGTCGGAGGATGGCAGGTCAAGTCCTGGCTTGGATGGCGACCTGGTTTCATATTTGTCTTCGTGATGCTGACCTGGAGCAATCTGGTTCCAAGGTCTATGCCAACCATAGTGCCATCTGTGGGGGATTTTGCCTCAACCGCAGGGTTTGCTCACTCAATAGGACACTCTGTCGTCAATTATGATTGGCCTTGAGCTGAGGCGCAGGTGTTGTCCGAACTCGTCAAACATCTTCTGATTGTCGGCCTGTTGATAGGATTGTTGCGCAAGTAGCCGAATCTGTTCAGCAGTCAACTCCTGTTCTGTCTTTGGAATTATAAGTTGTGGTGGCGTTTCTATGTCTAATTGGACAAGCCCTGCTGGCCTGCACCCAAATGCTAGTTTCAAATGCTAGGCGTTAGGGAGATTGTCTCTAAATGAGAGGGACTGCTGTCTCCGCTCGATTCGGCCAAGGTGTCATGGAACCTTGGGAGACAAGTCTAATGTCAAGACTGTTGTCGAACACTTGGTCTCCAACAACACATTTTGGCTGAAGATGATACAGATCAAAATAGCCCGTAGCGCATTTTGGCTGAAGATGATACAGATCACAATAGTCCCGTAGAAAAGGAATATTGGTGACATCAGTGGTTCTTTCTATCACTTCAGTGGTTAGAAGTGTTGTGGCTCCGTCAAGGATCGCTAGAACAGTGATTGGTTCACCAGTTCCTAAGGGAACTCGAGAATGGTCAATGAATGTCAACTCGCTGCGCGTTTCTGCTCTGCGGCCATTCGGCTTGCTCCGTGATGGAGCTACGGCAGCCTTCTGACAAGGTTCGCGTTTCGACCGAACCTTGTTGTAGCGGTCGTAGATCTGTAGCAACTCGCGAGTCCTGAGTCTGAACTGCCCTCCTGACATATCGTGACGCAGGTGGTTTTGAGAGTCGTGCGTGTATGTGCCGGCAAGTGGTGGTTTGTCAGAGAACTTGAATGTTGTGGATCCCACAACTCTGGAGTTGTCCTTGGCAATGTTGCCTTGGTTCGCCGATTATCTTCGATGGAAGACAATGGTTCCTTTGTCTCTGCCTTACTCTTTGATTGTAGATCTGTGTGTGTGGGATCGGACAAGTTTTGCTTGTGTCAGGTGCGAACAGTGCTCTCCTCTTGGAGGCATGAACCCTATGGAGTTCTTTGGTGGTGTGAATGATTTTCCAGCGGTCGCTGTTGGTGCTGGTGCTGGAGCTATGGCTTCCTTCGCTGCGTCGGCTGGACACGGCAACCGTAACCTTGCCAGTTGAAGTACGAATATACCCCGTGCAACACCAGGCTCACTTTTGCCAACGCTCAAACCTGGCTGAACTTTCTGACTGTTTTTCCACACTTCGCTAAGGACAAGTCCCGATTATGCTCAGTGTTTGTCAGATGCGGAACCTTCGCATGACGGTTGAGCTCACTCCTCAAGATCAAACAATGCGTGGCCGCTATTGGATACCGGTATGGGGTATTGATCATACTGAACGCCTTACACGTGATCTTCTCACCTTGCAGCCTGTTGCAAGCAACAAGACGCCGACACGGCAGACAAGGCGTTCGATGACGACAAGATCAAACCCGTCGCGTATCAGCCCAGGATTTTCCGTTATGACACGGGCTGGATTTTCGGCCTGATGGGCGCCCTGAGTGCACTGGCCCAGAGCTTGAGCTCGATTTGGTGTCGCGCGCGGAATCATGTCGTAGGTCAGGCCATCTTGGGTGACCGTACTTCTACTAGCCTCATCTTCTACGGTAGATGAGCCATGCAACCTGTTGCCCCAATCATCCTGACACGGGTCTGCCGAGATGTCGACAGGAGGCTGTGTAGCTTCCTGTGCCTTGGCGTAGTGATCCACGGCAAAGGTTTTGGTCTTTCCTTTTCCTTTGTCATCCTTGCCTGGATCTTTTGTCTCGTCCTTGGATTTGTTGAAGGGGCTTTCCTTTCCCTCTCTGATACCAAGGTTGTGGCTTTCCCGAGTGGAAATCTCTTGAGAACAAAAGCATCGTGGTCTTCCAGCTGCCAGAATGCTTCTTCGTCTTCCCCCAGAATCCTGCTTCTCCCTCTTGAATCTCCTTGTTCAACTTGTTCAAGGACATAGAAGATCTTGGATCTACTTCCGGATGTTTGGATCCTGAAAGGTCGTAGTACTGGGCCTTGAGGAAGCTGTATGTCTCTGAGGGTGAACCGTTCTTGTTGACCTTCTGTCAGCTCGCTCTGTAGAATGAAGAACAATGTTAGTGTATTATCTGACAGTGGAAAGGCCTGTGAGTGCTCCTGTTCTTTAGCTTGGACAAATCTGTCAAAGTTTTCTTGGAGTGCTGCGTCAATGGATGCTGCATGATAGGTGTTACTTCATGAATTCTTTGACTCGCGTCCTTGATAGCCTGAATACACTCAAGACTTGTTTGGGTGTGTCCGGGAGCTGTATCTTCCCAAGACTCTTGCAGCCTTCGCAGGAGAATCTCGAATTTAGTGACAAAGGTCACGAGTTCATTATTACTGCGGCAATATAGAAGAAACTGAGGAATTTGTAAAGGAATGCATTCTGCGTGCTTTCAAGACGTACCCGCGAAGGAAGTGAGAAAGTACTCCACTTCGTTTTCGGGATCTATGAGTTTCGTTCACGGCATTGCTGCGCCCTTGACGAGCCGGTTCTTGAGAAGCGGGCCTCGTCGCGCGGGTTCTATAACCGTGCATGTAATCCAACCCCGTACCAGATCTTCACACGGAAACCAACTAAACTAACACGGCCGTCAGACGATGGAGGCAATTTTGCATTCGTCGAAAAGATTGATGGTCTCCTCATGGAAACTCACGCCGCTTTGGCGGCTTCCAAGGAAAGCCGCTGCAGGTGGTTCTGATCCGTAGAGGTTGCGTAGGGGTTCCCAAGTGGCCCCGGAAGACACCTCGTAAGTCCCTGCGTCGATCTACTCCAACGCAGAAGGTAAATATGTGTTGAAGAGGTACATGACCAAATGGGATTGTAAGCAGTGTTTGGTTCCAACAGGAACAACTGTAAACTGTACCACAGGCAGCCAAAGCGGGCTTGTTTTCTATGAGCTAGAGACTGTAAAAGCTACCAGCCCTTGAGCCACGAAATGGCAATGAAATAGCTGCGTGAGTGGATACGGTGAACCAGGCGCAAAAGAAACGAGAACCCCCCCCCCCCGCACGCAAAAGCGTGCAAGATTGCAGGTGTGCAAGCGCGCAAGTGCGCAGGCACGCACGAACGCGCAAGCAAGCAAGCAAGCAAGCAAGCAAGCAAGCAAGCAAGCAAGCAAGCAAGCAAGCAAGCAAGCAAGCAAGCAAGCAAGCAAGCAAGCAAGCAAGCAAGCAAGCAAGCAAGCAAGCAAGCAAAAGCAAGCAAAAGCAAGCAAAAGCAAGCAAAAGCAAGCAAAAGCAAGCAAAAGCAAGCAAGCAAGCAAGCAAGCAAGCAAGCAAGCAAGCAAGCAAGCAAGCAAGCAAGCAAGCAAGCAAGCAAGCAAGCAAGCAAGCAAGCAAGCAAGCAAGCAAGCAAGCAAGCAAGCAAGCAAGCAAGCAAGCAAGCAAGCGAAGCAAAACAACTCAAAACAAACCAACGCAAATCAGAACAATAACAGAAGCGACAGAATTCACGAACGAACGAAAGAAGCGACAAACGCAGAGAAAGGATCATGAACATGAATATAAACAAAGCTTCGCATGCGAGCAGACAAAACCAAATGCGCAAACACAATCCAGCGCAAACTCAGGGCGCGGTGACCCGCCAGCTGCAATCCAGGAACAGACCGGGGGAAAGAAACAGCTGTGCAAGATGTATGCCTGAGCCATTAAGGTGAACATTTTTGTGGATCTCTCAAAATTGCTTTTGGATTCTTTTAAAAGGCCCATGTTTACCGCAGTTTGGCGGGTGATGTTGAGGTTGTCATTTTAGCAAACCCATTTGTTGCAGACTCGCGCTGTTGTGCCTGCAATGTATGCTTGCCACAATCTGTCGCGCAGCCAGTTGCCACGCAGCTGACACGCGGAATGTTGACAGGCTTTGGGCCAAACTTGTTTGGCTTCTTGTGCCTCGGACACTTGCCGCAGATTTGATTTGGGTCGTGCAGCGCGACATGCCGCTCGAATCCCATCGCGCGTGCAAAGTCGAGAAAGCGAGTATTCCGCTTTGGTGGTTCGCATTCGTCAAAGCTTTCCCTGTGATGAGCGCCCGAGGCCGACAAGCACAGGTGCTTCCAACAGTTGGCGTCTTTTTGCTGTGATGGTTTCGAAATGCAAACAAACACTTGCTAGGTCTGTAGTGGCTTCGCTGGCTCTACTGGTTTAAGTGTGTCAGAAGCAATGTCCATCGTATCCAGATGGGTGGCCGTTCTGATCAGAACAGAACCTATTCTTCTGCATTTGTTCTGTATAAAGAACCCTTGCCTCTGCATGCTTACACGCTGTGACGCTTTGTGAAGACTTCTCCGTAGGGCTTCGTGCGCATGGATCGGCCACTTGGCAGAGTTGGGTTGATTTGACCCTCAGCGGTTGCGGCCAAGGCAGTGCCCAGATGCATATCGAATGGCAGAGCCGTTCACCGAATCGCCGCCTCCAGTCAGGCAATGGTTCTGTGTGTGGTGAGCTGCCTGCAAAATTTGGCAGCAGGTCTTTGCTACAGTCATATCCTGATTACTACTATGCGCCTTGGCTGCAGTGTGCGTAGCGGAGTTTCCGGGCATGGCCGCAACAGAGGCTGGTACAGCGGCATACATGGTGCAGGCCGGGAAATATATTGCTGGGAGTTCTCCTGTGCACCTTCAATCATTGAGCGACTGAGCGGATAGGTGCGGAAAATCCCAACGGTGCTGGAGCACTTGCGGTCACGCCCGATTGGTGACATTGACCGCATGATGCTACTTCCAGAAAACCTGGGACCCGGGCTTAGAGGCTTAGCTCGGCAAATTGTTGGACGAGTGGCGCGAGCTGTGCGTCAAGGAGATGCCCGGATGCCATGCGTTTATTGCCCGTACCAGATCTGGCCGTACGTCGTGCAGCTGGGATGGCGGCACTGGACACGATTGCTTTGCGTAGGCGCATGGTGAGCGATTGCAGTCGGATGCTTGCAGGATCTCTACTCTGCTGCCCCCAGCTGAGGTGGCTTTCCTGAATTTGCGAAGTGCTCAACGCAAAAGATCTGATTGTAAAAGTCGACGCAAGATATGGACTCAGGTCAAGAGGCGCTTGGCAGCTGCCTCCTTTGTGCTGATAACAGCTCTGGGCATCGCCATTCTGGGCGCTTTCCTGGTAGTGTGCTGCGTCTCTACCATCCCGTTGAAGGCTTGAGCAGGCAAAAGGAAAACAGACCACGGAGAGCGCGTTGCTATGGACAATCGTTTTTTTGCGTCCCAGAACATATGTCAAACAAATAGCTAAAACATGCAAAGAAGCTGGGGTGAAGGCCATGCCGCCCTCAGATTGCAAGCGCGACCAGGCCTCTACACTTCCTGTTTGTCCCCAGATAGATTGACAGCAGGGAGCCAGGCGTGGGTGCGTGCGCGAATGCCACGCGGGTGGAATTGTTTTTTTTGCGAAATTTGGCAAGGTGGTGCTGCTGGTGCTGGTCAGGGTGCTGATTGCGTGCTGTGGTTGTGCTTATTGGCGGTGCTCATATGTAGTGCACAGGTTCGTGTCCGGGGAATCACCATCAAGCTGCCAAAATTGTCGGTGCAGTGTCATCGTGCTTCCGGCAGGGTTATTCGCTGCAGAAAAATGGAGTTCTGGCCAAATCTCTCATTCTGCTGGTGGTCTATGCGGGTTCTTTCTTCTTGGGCATCCCGGGGAACTTTGCACTTCTACGGCCGCGCCAGCCGCAGACGCATCAAACAGGTAGCCCAAACACGCAGAGAAGCTGGGAATGCTAAACCCACAGTCAGGCAGGACAGGAGCAGCCAAGGATGTACCGATCGACAACGCACGGACACGTGCGCGCGCCACAAACACACTGGGAAGCTAGTCCCGCCCTCAAGTGAAGAGCCTAACGCATGCGCGCGCCAAAGAGAAGCTAGTCGCAAACAAATGCCCAGTTTTGCCTTGCCACTCGATATTGTTTGTCCCTTGCTTCAGCGCCCGAGCGCTAAAAGATGGCCGGACACTAGCAGAATCAGAAAGCAACGTCATCAGGACGACCCGATGTAGGAAATACAAAATCGGTGCGGGTACTTCTCTAGAGTAAAAGGCAGGTGATGGACTGCGAAAGGCTGCAATGCTGGTTTTGCCGGAGGTGTTTGTGCACTTATGTTTGTGCTTAAAGCGCCGGTCTCGGAAGTATCTGACTTGGAAGGGAATTTTCAGGAAGACCTGTGCTGAAGAGATCTGCATGTACGCGCTCGTGGCGTTTGGGGGTGTGGAACAAATGTTTTGTGAGCGAAGCGTGAATTCATCGTAGGAGATGAACTCCAGAAGCAGCTACAGTGATGTTCGGCGTGACAACGTGCTGAGACCTCAACTCCACAGTTTCAATGCGTGATCAGGCTGCTCATGTTACGCTCATGTTGGGCCGGCTGGCGACTGGTCGGCGGTGTCAAGCATTCATGTGGCAGGGCGGTTGGGCGGCTGGATGGTTGGCTGAGCTTGCTACTTTGTGCGCCAGATCCAAGCCTGAACCTAAAGTCGGGTTCGCCAATCCACCCGCCCAGCCTTCATCCCATCGGCAATTCCGCGCTTGGAGGTGGTTTACCAGACGCCTTCGGAGTCTTTCTTTCCGGGCAAGCTCTTTTAACGTGTGGCTGTTTGGGCCATGCTCTGGGATGCCATAATTGCTTCGCAGGCGGATGTTGGTTGCTTCAAGTTGGTCTCCGTGAAGAGGCTGCCAAGTTTGGGTTGCCGGAGATCAAGCTGAGGCAACATCGGGTGGACGAGGCCCAACCTGTGAGAAATGGGCCTCCAGACAACCAGTCCAGCAAACAGACTTGGGCACGGCTGGAGAAAAAACTTGCTCTCATGCTGAACCAGGCTGAGCAGCGCGTGCGGGGGACAGGGTGGTCCGCGGGAGCAGGCGGCTGTTCCGTTACAGATCAGCGACCAAGCAACTACAACCCCAGCTTGAGCGTAGAGGCTGGCTTTTGTGTGACGCGGGTGCGGCTTCTGGCAGGCTGCAAGGGTTGCTGGAAACACAAAGCCCAAGAACGTCTCAAGGGTTTGGGGCAGGGCGGCTCGCCCACTTTCGCGAGCAACGAATTGGCAGTTGTTAGGGCTTGAGCGTTCTGCCCTGCGGATGGCGGTCTGCGCAACATGGTCCAACCCACGCGAGAAACTCTTTGCAGGATGCTTGTGCGTTCCGTCTACACATCTCAGTCAGTGGCCGGTTGACCGAAAAGCGCGGCGAGAAAGCACGGGTTTGCAGGCCCAAGCAAGCCTCTCCATCATCCAGGCCTCAGGAACTGTAGGGCAGAGTAAGGCCCCACCTCCTCCGATTTCCGGTCAATAGCGCGTCAAGAGCAAGTGCCAGAAGCTTCCTGATCAAGGTTTACAAAATGCAGCTGCTCAGCTTCTGCCCACGAGACGCCAGCTAGCCGTGGATAGCCTAGCGCGGCTTCTGCTGGAGCTATTGCAATAGCTGGCGCCGCAGCCTATTGAAATACTGCTCGCTATGTTTACTTCGGCTTGCTCGGTTCAAAGGGAAGAAATGCAGACCACGCTTTTTCTGTCTACAGACCCGTGCCTCCCGTTTATGCTAGCGAAGGGGCAAGGGTGAAATAGGCTTGAGAATTTTGTACGCGCGCAAGTGTGCAAGTGCGGCTGCTTCAATAAGCAATTTGCTCGATGATTTCTTTTTCGGCATTGCCCCGCGGACTCTCTGCTAACTTAAAATCACATGCCTAGAGGCTACGAGGTTACCATGCCGGAAGAGCAAGTGCAATTTACAAAGCGCGTCTGGCACACGCTTGATCCACACATGTGCAAGCGCGGCGCAAGTTTGCCTGTGCGCGCCCGTTGCCTTTTGAGTCTTGTTGAGTGGTTTGCGCAGACCACAGGAGAACTTTGCGCGCGAACATTTGTTTCTGCGCAAGGGCGCGCTGGTCGCGCAAATGCGGCGATAGGGCTTAAGCGCGGGAACAAGGATGCTGGAAAGCTATGCGACACACGTTGTACCTAACGAATGAAAATTGTGTCCGAAGCTCATTGGTCGGGTGAATCGTTAGGTCGGGGAAGTGACAAACACGGGCAGGTTTCCATTGTGGTCAAGGGAAACCGTGTGGATTGCGCTTGGCGTGCGTTGACTGACGCTTGCCGACCTTGGCCGAGCTGTGAGGAGTGCGTGAATGCATCGCAACAGATGAGCTTGGCGGAAGGGCTAAGGCACGCTGCCTTGCCTTTGCTGGATCGCGGGCAGGTGATGCGATTTGGTGTAAGTTGAACTGGAAAGCATGCCCTGCACCATGCATTGTTGTTTCAGCAGAGCGCCTTTGGCTGCTCCGAGCTTTTATCGCCAGCACCAAGTCCTCACTCAGTGTCATCCCTTCAAGAGCAAATCATAACCGTCCTGGCGCCGATGGCAATGTGCCCCTCGGCCGTACTTGGGTGGTTGGGCTGTGGCTGGACTGGCCGTGGGCAAATCGGAAGAGTGCAAAGTTGGATCGGACCAAACTTGTTGAAACGAGGTTTTCGCTGCGGTCTTGCTGGCTCAGTGTTTGTTTGCAGCCGATGTCATCAAGCGTGGGCCCTGGCTGCACGCATGTCACGTGCGATTTCTTTGCGTTTGTCATGTCCTAATCTGCTGCGCGGAGGTCTACTTCTGCAGCCCGCAATGTCAGAAAGGAGGAAGCTATGCTCTTGGTGGGCTGGCTGCCTTCGTAAGCTAAATCGGGACAAAACACTTGGTTTTCGAAGGTCCTACTGTGTCACTTCTGTTGTGAAGTAGCCCCACCTGACAGTTGGTTGTTTGGCTCTTGCGACGTTGGTTTCGTGTTGTGTGTCTTGAGCTTGGGTCTGAAGGATGGAGGCAGCACCGGCCTGACTGTCTCCAGGCCTGCACTGGTGGGGGACCATGCCCTGCAGGCTTGCGTTTTGTATCATGAGAGTTGCAAGCCACGTGGGAACACGCCATCGCTGTAGGATCCCTGCTTGTCAGTGCGGTAGCGGAGCCACATCGTTTGGGACGCCAACAGGTCACATGTGTGCGCGGTGTGCGTCGGGCAGCCTGGACAACCAAGGGCAAGGGCAAGTTCTACGGCAGCCGCAAGCATGTCCTTAGCGCTGGGCCAATGTCAGTTTCTGCAACGGCCGCTGCGGGTCTGGGGCAGAGCTACAGCAAGGACGTGCTCAGCAAACAGCTCATCAAGCTGCAGCTAGAAGCGCGCGCGTGAGCCAGTTGAAGCCAGCAGATGTCGCTAGATGGAATGCTGCGCTCCGGAAATGCGCATCTTTCACAGTTCCATGATCAAAAGGAGTCCACCCATGGCAACCGCACCTACAGCGCAAAGCGCTCCCAGGGACCAGCTTCGACGCTCAGAGCCCGCTTTTTTGACTGACAGACTCAAGACCAGAACTCTCCTCCCTTTGGCTTAGGCTTACCCTCCGACGCCAGTCGAGCGTGTAGATGGCAATCAGCAACTTGGTCTTCTTCGGAATTTTCTCACAAACTTGAAGGCTTTGGGGGAAGCCATTTTTGGGTAACAATTGCCGCGTGTTTAAAACCCTGAATTGTCCAGTGTTGCGGGCCTTCGCGAGCCTAAAACGTGCGTTGAGCCTGAATGTCTGGAGGGGGGAACAGAGGTTGCCTACGGCGCTCAGAATCTGCATTCCCAGCATGATCAGGGCCGTTTTGAGCGATCGGTAAAGTTTTCAACAATCGTGTTTCGCGAAATCACCACCTGTGTAGGGGCGTTCTCATCATTCATGCACCCCCGCGCGCGCCCGGCACGCCCAATATCTAGTCGAGTTTTTGCCTTGTCAAGGTGTGGCAAAAGGAAACTCTCATTTCCTTACATGTCTGCCACGCCCTTGTCCTTAGCTCTTTATCACGCTGGCAACGCTGTTATTTACAGGTCTGCGTGATAAAAATGTTCAAGTAGTACGACTATCTATGTTCATAGCATCTTGTACGGTTTGGTGGCCGACACCCAAAAGATTTAGAAGAAAAGGGTTTCGGAGAAAAGTAACCTAGAGGTGCGTTTGATCGCATTTTAGGTGGTCAAAGGCCGAACAGGCATTTGGACGTGAAAAACGATTTGGCCGTGAAAATCCGACAAGGGCCACATGGCCGTGAAAAAGCGTGAAAAAGCCGTGAAAAAACGCCAAATGGCCGTGAAAAACATGAAAAACGTGAAAACACAGCGCTGCAACCATTTGGCCGTGAAAACGGGCAATGTCAAGGACACATTTTTTCAAGGTCGCGAGTGGTATGACCTCCTAAAATGTGATCGAACACGCCTCCAGGAAACTGCATTTGTTCATGTTACGCGCCTCCTTGTTGCACAAAAGGGCCGCAGCAGTCGTCGCACCGCAGAAGGCGCCAGCAGTCGTCACAGCACAGAGGGCGTCGGCGGACCGCGTAGCGATTTCAATACCGTTCCATTCGAGGATCCACTGGCTGATCTCTGATTGCGTCAGTCCGTTCGCAAAGGCTGGCGCAGGCCTCTTCTCTCCTGACAAGACATTCACCAACTGCCTCATCCAATCATCCGAAAAGCTGGAGATGCTGAAGATACCTGATGCGTGGATGATGAGCCCCACAAGAATTTTGAAGCAACAATACAATATCAAGGTTGCACGCCTGGTTTCACCGCCTGGTGCTGTGCTAGGTCCCAACTGTCCGCTTGACCAAGCGCGTTGCCAATGGCCAATGGCGCTGTGGGGGCTTGAAGAAGAGTTCTCGATGAGCGTATCTAGGTGTACGCAATGCAACACTCCGTCTACCAGTCACTCAGGCCTTGAAAGTCACACCCAAAGAGCGGCCCACGCCCCATGCCTGGGGGTGATCCTCAGCGAGCGCCATGTTGGGGGCCTTGCTGTGCAAGTGCCAAGCGTATCTGGAGGCTGTCGGTATGCGTTTCTCTTCATTACGTGCTCCGAGGAGAGACCTTCGCCGTTCGCCATCTTCACAGCCCGCAACCGCAAGTTGCTGGATAAAATCCTGTCGCAAGGCGAAAGGAACGAGGGTTCATTTGTCGCTCTGGAGGCAAGAGGAAAGGCAAGGCGAAGGGCAAGAAAGGCAAGAAGCCCCTCCGAAAAGACTGCGGCGGAGATTCTGAAAATGACCGCGCTAAAGGCGTCGAACTTCCTGTCAACTTGACTCGTCTCAACCTCAACCCAGGGTTCAACCCCAAGAGCCTCTAGTAAGAACTTCAAGCGGCAAGCGGCTGCAAGATTGATGGCGGCGGCCGGTGTAAACCAGCTTCTGCTCTTGCCCAGTCGCGCCGCTGGAGTCACAAACCCTAGTCACACCCAGAGAGTGAGGCGCTTGAGCCTCTTCGTCTTCACGGTTGGCGTCCTGCAGCTGGGTGATCTTCAGATTCAACACGTCAGTCCACAAAGCTGTAGATGGTGTCCGTCTAAAATTGGACCCTGGCGCGAGTCTGTCCTGGCTCGTGCTTGGGCCACATTTCCAAACAATGCCGGCTGGCGCGTAAGCAGCAACTTCGTGGTGGCGAAGGGCAAAGCTGACATGTTCACCAGACATGGAGGCAGGAACCGGTCACAGACCACCGTCTGCAGAGCGATCTAGGCTTCCAGAGACATGGTGGATGCTGCGCTGATTGAGCCAGCTGGGCGAGACTCGGCGACCGCAGCTAGCCACCTTGCGGCAGCGGGCGTGAAGATCGATTCCAAGAGCCGACACGTGTACGACCCAGGATGGCTACAGTGCCAAGATGTTGCGCTTGCCATCTCGACATCGCGCTTCTACACCACCCGCAGGCGCAGCCGGAAGAACGCCAGGAGGACGGTTGCAACCCCTTTCTTCTGCTCCCCGCCTCATGCGATCGAGCGCAACGATGGCTTTGTCGCGGACAGGAACTACACTGCTGCAAGGTGCAAGCGTTCTGGCTCTGACGCATCTCTCTCCCAATTTGCCGCCCGCCATCGATCGCTTCCAAGATGTGGGCGCCTTCGCCTACCAGGTATCAAGACTGAGGCCCAGAAGAAGCAGTGCCAAGCAGTGGCAAAGATGCGAAAGATTGCCTTGACGCACGCATGGCCTGACGGGGCGGTCAGCCTCCTCGACTTCCCGACCCATGCCAAGGTCCAGTCCTCTTCTTTGCGGAGCGAGTGTAGCTTGGAGCCAAAACCCTGACAACAATCGACCGAGCAGATCCAGAAAACGCAACCTCAGTCAGATCCTGGGACATCGACAAAACAAACAGAGAGGCAAGAGAAAGAATCAGGGTGGCTTCTGGACACTTCGTCTGAGAGACAGCCTTTTTTCCCGTACTTGCCATGGCGCCTGAGAAGACCGTTATGGGAGCGCGGAGGAGGCTGGGTGGGGCAGAATTGTCAAGGCTCTGAAGGGCCTCAGGGACCAACGGATCTTCCAGGGCCTGGCATCAGTGTTGCAGAAGCGCTGGGAGAAGAAGGCCGTCCACCGTTTATGAGGCACCGGTGCCTCACGCTAGATGGGAGCGTCCGGAAGGAGCCTCATGCGCGTTCCAGACCCTCTCTGAGGGGTGATGCAAAAAGCATTGCTACATTGGCGACGGTGACAGAGTGTTAGCTGAGCGCCAGCTACGAGGGCATGGTTGGCGACTTGTGTTTGTGGCGGGAAAATACTGGACCCAAGTCTGCACCGAACATCTAAGTGCCGAACTGGTTCAACGTGTCTGCCCACCTGAGCCGAGCCCAACCTGGAAAACGACAACCAACTGAAAGCGAGCGCCAACCCTGTAGAAACCCAGAAGGTGAGGTACTTCAAGAAGCAAGGAGATGGAGCAGGAACAGGAGGTGTCTGAAGTCAGCGCGCAGGCTGCGACTCACCGAGTCAGCGGCCCAACGCGCAAGACGCGGCGAGCAAGCGTACGGGTGGATGAAGCGCCTTTTCCTGCGAGAACTACGAGCTCTTCTGCAAGACCAGTGGCGCCGTCTTTTCAGCTATGGCTCTCGCAAACAACAACTACTCGCGTCCTCCCCGACGAGGTGCCAGTGAATTGGAGGAAGGGCCGCAAATCCGGTCGCCTGCTGCTGCGGAGCCAAGGACGCCAACTTCAGGCCCAGTCAGGTTGAAGGAGTGTGCGATCAGGCGGGCAGCGCGCCCCACCTCAGCGAGAAACCACCGGGGCAAGTGGAGTTCTGCTCTACCTTCAGGCAGTAGAGCCAAGGAGATCAAGTCAACTCACTTTCGGGCTCGCCAGAAGAGGGGACGAAGTCTTGCCGTTGCGAGGCGGGCGTCCAGGGAAGGCAGGCCAGACCGCTCTGCCCTGGCTTCGATCCTCTCGGCATCTTCCTTCACCAACCACATGCAACAATGTGGTGGGAACCATGAAGAAGAAGGTTGCCGGCATTCCCGAGCCGGATGTGAGGCTCGTGCTCGAGATGCCTCGTTTCACCCCTCCAGCAAGCCGCAGCGGATCCACTTCTGACTGCAGGCAGGCAGGTTTGATGGCCTGCCGAAGCAAGAGGCTGAGGACACGAGCAGGAAGTGCCGCGCTGCGCGGGACACCTTTCGTAGCGCAGCCTTGCAGCCATGGAGAAGCAGTGCGTCGTGTGGCAAAGCTTCAGGAGGTGCGCCAACGGTCCTCAACCCAGTCACGGTCGCCGTCGAGAGTGTCTACGACAGCAAGGCGAGGATGATCCGGCAGCCTTAGAAGCAGCCGTCGCCCACGAGAGTCTGGCCCGGTTGGCCCGACAGTCAAGCCACCTCACCCCGCTCACAGGCCTTGAACCATAATGGGCTTGTGGAAAACAGCTCACGCTGTACAACCCTGCGCTTAGTCATTGGCTGTGGGGCAAGAGGTTCCAAGCTGAGCTGCGTGACAAGATGGAAAGGCGACGCGGTTGTCCAGGCTTTGTTTCGTGCGAATTCGGGCGCAAGTAGGCGTGTCAAGATGTTCAGGAGATTGGACAGAAGTCCACAGCGCACAGTGTGTTTACATGATAAGCTTGTGTTCATGGCGCAGGGGTCTGTGGGCTAAATCAGACAACGCAAGTGTTGCGTTGGCATCCTCGCAGTGCCATTTCACGTCAGACCGCCTTTGCGATGCCACGTGCAGCTTTCTAGAATTTCGTGCTGAAAACCATCAAGCGTCGACGCTAGATTGATTCTTAGCGGACAGGGGTTGAGATTGGGCCGCAGCATGCCGGTGCTTGAGCCGTTTTTGATCACCTGTTCCACGAGCAGATGTTGAAACTGTATGAGTGTTTTCACGGCTGGGGAACGCACTGGACCGTCTGCTTCACTCTGTTCGTTGCGCGAGCACCGGCCATGTCCGGCCCAAGCTGCCAGAACTACACAGAGCCAAAGGCTTTGAGGGCTGCAAGGGGGCATCAACACTACCAAGCGCCAAAACTACCAAGGTTCAAGCGCTGAAGTGCCAAGTCTTGGGCGCGATTTGGCTCAATCCGGCAGCCTTCCTGGAAAAGTGGGATAGCGTGCGACTGGCCCAGAGAATGAGGTGCCGGTCAGCCCTGGAGGCAAGCTGAAACTGCTGACTCGCGTTTCTTGAGCAGCAAGCGGCGCTCGACGCAATATTGGGTGTTTTTGATGCCAATTTGCCCAAGCGCCTGCAGGCCGCTTGGCGCGTTGTGTGAGTCTGCAGACCGTCTTGCGAGCACAAGGGCTTTTGGTGACTTTTGCCGATCGCTTGTGAGTTTGTTTGGGCTGTGACACGAGCCATTCTGTGGCTGGGGAAGACTAGACGCATGGAATTGGGGACGCAGGTGTCTAGACGGCGAGTAGATTGGCCCCCGCTTGCTGCTGAAGGGTTTGTCTCTTCAGACGCTGGGGGCCAAAGCAGTTTGTGGATCCTCATGTTGATGCCCACTACTTTTTTGGTCTACCTTGAAGGGGTCGCTTAACATCCCTGCTCGGGCGTCGTCGCAAGGCTTGCGCGGGCGCAGTGGAAAACACCCCCTGGCGCGTTCTCCAGCTTGACCCGCTTCCAGTTTGCGTTGAATAGATGCAAAACCAATTGTTCGAGCTTGCGCGTCACATGTAGAAATGTGTTTATGGAGCGCGTGGGAACGAAGTGAAGAACTGACAGCGGCGAAGCAAGCCATCGGATGTATCGTCGGTCAGTTTGACGTGCGTGGTTTTCTACTTCAGTTCTGTTTGTAAGGACTTCCTCCCTGAGGCACGCAAGCCACATCCGCGTGTTCGCGTGTGCCCTTGGGGTTTGCGACCTGGTGCCACAGCAGGCAAGTCTTTCGAGGTACGCGAACCTGGGAGTCCGGCGCCTAGCGCCATCGTGAGACTGCGCAGTGCTGGGGTGCCAGGGCGTAGGGCGAAAACTGAGGCCCTTCACGGAGAGGTCGACGTTGAGGTCCCTTCGAGTAGCAGCCTGCGAGACATACGCCAGGCTGCAAGCAACCAGTGCCATTCTCGACGTTAGCGTGGCGCCCGCCCATTGCATTTGTCAGAAGCTGGCAACCGTCTTTGGCAGTGGCAGCTGCCGCCTCTTTGCTTGTGGGGAGGAGGCGGGCTTGGGCGTGCCCAATTCTTCTTCCAGAACGGACGTGCAATGAGTCTCAAGTTGCTTCGCGCGAAATCTTTGGACGTGATAGGCAACTTCCAACTTGAAGGCCCGAGAACCCAACTTAAAGGTGGAGGCGAGTCACAGTCAAGGGAGGGTAGACAGGGATCAAACCAATGGAGCGGCAGCGTTTTGAATTCTTTACATGGTTCGGAGTGGAACGTTTAGGTTTTGATCATGACTGAGGTGAAGTTGGAGGTTGCTCGTGCGTGTCTCACACTGGCTGCCAGTGCAGGTTCTCAGTCTCGAGCACTTCTGGGAGGCCACAGCCCAAGTTGACAGAGCCCGGAAAATTGGCAGCCTCCACACGCCCCCCCCCCTTTTCTGAGGAAGTCTATTTTATCCAAAGCGCATAAGGTCTTGGAGCTGTTATTGAACTCTAGGTATCAGTTCTGTATTGTAGCTAGAAATGTAAATCGGCGCTAACTTTGGCTGAAGAAAGGTAGGTCTGTCCCATGTTAGCCGTATCGCGGGTAACGTGTGCGGCGCCCCGCTCCCGATCCGCACTGTCGCCCTGAAGTTACGAAGATGAGCGAAGCAGTAGCTGACTCACGAAGAATCAAGCGCGCGGCCATTAACATTGTCATCAGTGCAACCAGACCGTGAGCGTGACCGCCAAACTGCAGCGGGCCATACTCAGGAGCAAGGGCGTTTGTGTCAAGAAGCGTACGGGCCCAAGCGCGACTGAATGGTCGGGAGCAAGAGAGCACTGAGGCGCCCAGAGACAGCGGGCTGCAGAGTAAACTGAGGCTGACAGGAACGCTGCCAATTGCAAGATTCTCATGCACCCTGAGAGAACAAGCAAGCCAAGGATGAGCCTGAAGGGGTGCCAAAAAGTTTGCTCCGCCCCCAAGCATCGACCTTAGCTCCAAGACACGAGACAGGTCCTGTTCCTCTGAGGTACGCAGAGGTGACCCGGGCGCTGCGACGCCAACGCTTCGAACACTGATGCTGAGTGTGAGCCCGACAAGACCCCGTGATTTGAATGACCCTCAAGTGACGGCCGTGGTAAGGGTAATGTCAGTGCCAGTGGAAACAGCAAGAGGATGATGAAGATGAAGATGAAGATGATGATGACAATGGTGGTGGTGATGATGGTGATGATGTGGATGATGGTGATGATGATGATGACGATGCTGATGATGATGATGATGATGATGATGATGACGGGAATGAGCAAGCCGGACGTGGAAAGCGGGTGTGACCAACGCAGAGGCGCAAGACACCAGGCAATCCGGCGCTTGAACAAGGGTAAGGCGAAATCCATTTAATCACCTCAGAAGGGTCCATTGATCACACATATACCTGTTGGATCGAACCCGCGAGGCAGCACCTATCTTGGGCCAGGCTTTGGCGCAAAAGCGAGGGCGTTGCGGGGCAGGGCGGAAGTAAACCTTCCGCGCTCGCGTTGAGAGCCAACGCGCGCCTGCGGGGTTCTGCGTTGCCGAGCCTGAGGTGGAAGCGATGAAAACAGTCGATCGCAAAACTGGTAGGGTGGTTGAAACTTCCAGGAAAGGTCGGCGGCGGGAGGCTCTTAGATAGAAAGTGCAGGGGGGATCAGCGCAAGTGGCTGGAAGTCGAGGAACCCCCGTGTGAACATGAACTGCGACTATCGCTTGGTTGCTGTCTCGAAGAAGGTGGGCTACTTCTTTCGGGGCGTGATGCGAGGCGTTGCTTTGAGCATCCAACAGTGTCCGTCCCCGGCTGCGCTTGGCGTCGTCGGACCAACGCGCGTCGCTGGATTGTCTAAGTGAAGCTCGGATCACGCAGCTGTGGGCTCGTCGCTGCGTTCCGAAACTCAGCAAGCTTGAGAGAGGCCGCGGGAAAGGCGATTACAGCAAGTTGCTTGCCTGCGCGGGAAGTGTAAACGCAAGCAGGTGCATCGCTACCTCCATTGCAAGGAACGCAGCGCGGGTGTAGTGTCGTGGACAGATGCGCAGATTGCCACAGAGCTGGTCCGCCTGGATATGGTTTCTTACATGGAGGACATGAGCGGCAGCCGGGGATTCAATCGCAGCGTGCAAGGCGGGCGAGAAGCGGGTCTGTCTGTCTGTCTGTCTGTCTGTCTGTCTGTCTGTCTGTCTGAGGTCTCCGTCGAGGCGTCGAAGAGCGAAGGGGGCCAACTTTGGGTGTGACTGTGTGTCCGTTTTCAGGCTTGATGCCTGAGAGTTTGGACTTCCTTGGCAGAGTTGCTCGGCATCTCGTGCGGCATGGGCTGGAAGCTGGTTTCCATTCCACTGCCGAAGAAAGTTTACTCTTGCGCCGCGGATCGCTGAGCGCAGTGGTCAACGCGTCCCGCAGAAACTGCCAAGCGTATCCTAGGTGAAGCTTCACGGAAGAAGTCTTGTTGATGAGCAGGCGTACCAAGACCTACCGTTGACGCCCGCTCCCCACTCCACTGAATGGCGCGAGCCACTGCACGCACACCCGCAACCCTACCCAAAAGAAAAGAGCACAGGCAGCAGATCGTGGAGGCAGGGATGGAGCCAGGGACGGAGCCAGGGCTGCCGTCGCCGCCACGGCGGCCGCTTGCCAACCTCCTAACATGAAATGCGGTTGCCGAACTTGATAAGACGGATTGCTGTCTGAGGAGGTTCGTCACGGAACTTGTGTCTTCGACTTGATGCGGCATTCGTGTCTTCTGGTTGGTTTGGCCCACAAGTTCTTGTACTTCAACAGCCTACGCGCGGACAGGAAACAGCGCAGGGAAGACGGAACTTCCGCCTGGCGAGCAGACATGAGCCGCAGCGCATCAAGGCGGGGCTGAGCAGCGAGGCTGCGCGGGGCGAGTCAAATGTCGACAATCCTGCCTGGCGCAGTCATGTAGTCGCAGACTGCCACAAAATTGGCCCGCCTGGAGAAGACGGCGTTGCTGCAGAACATGGAGGGCCTGCGTGAGGGCCAGCTGAAGACGAGGGGGGGGGAGATCTTGGTTGCGAACGTGTGTTGCAACGGTTGTCCACAGACCCGTCGCAGACCACGCAGACCATGCAGACCACGCAGACGCCGCAGACGCAGCGCAGACCACGCAGACCACGCAGACCACGCAGACCACGCAGACCACGCAGACCACGCAGACCACGCAGACCACGCAGACCACGCAGACCACGCAGACCACGCAGACCACGCAGACCACGCAGACCACGCAGACCACGCAGACCACGCAGACCACGCAGACCGCGCAGACCGCGCAGACCGCGCAGACCACGCAGACCACGCAGACCACGCAGACCACGCAGACCACGCAGACCACGCAGACCACGCAGACCACGCAGACCACGCAGACCATGCAGACCACGCAGACCACGCAGACACGCAGACACACAGACACACAGACACACAGACACACAGACACACAGACACACAGACACACAGACACGCAGACACGCAGAGACACATACACACCAGACACAGACACACAGACACACAGGCACACAGACACACAGACACACAGAAACACAGAAACACAGAAACACAGAAACGCAGAAACGCAGAAACGCAGAACCGCAGAAACACAGAAACCCAGAAACGCAGAAACGCAGAAACACAGAAACACAGAAACACAGAAACACAGAAGCACACCCGCGCACACCCGCGCACACCCGCGCACACCCGCGCACACCCGCGCACACCCGCGCACACACGCGCGCACACGCGCACACACGCGCACACACGAGGCACACACGCGCGCACACGCGCACACACGCGCACACGCGCACACGCGCGCACACGCGCGCACATGCGCACACACACGCGCACACACGCGCACACACGCGCGCACGCGCACACACACGCGCACACACGCGCGCA